CCAATTCTAGAACTGAAAATAACGTACACTTGAAAGTTTTATTTGGTTCTCTAGTGATCTTTAATCTCCCTTTATTTTGTAACAAAATAGGTTTTCGACATACTTTATCTAAAAATTTAGAACTTCTTTGATTTTGAAACGTTAATAAAAGGCACAGGAAAGCCTCGATAGAATCAACAAATTTGAGAACATTGGAAATGTGGGCTTTACCCATAAATAAAGTTATGCATTTTATTTAAATTGAGAAGAATAAAATTGTGATATTTCTTTGTATACTTTTATGGTTATTTTGAATGATAGACGGAATTGTATGTAAAAAGACTGATCATAATTAATGGAATGTGGGTAAAGCCCACATTCCAGTTTTCTGTTTTTATACCTTCGGAGAAATAAATCGAGTAACAAACAGATTAGCGAGAAGCGAATGACAGTAAGAATCATAGTGAGCTTTACCCACATTCCAGTGTATATTTACAATAAATATGAATTATGATCAGTCTTTTCACACAATTTCGTCTATCACTCAAAATGTATAACTTTATTATTTTAAAAATATTAACGTATATATTGGACTCTCGATAAACAAACAATTAAATACATTAAAAAAAAAAAAAGGGCGAGTGAGAGTAAATTAATGTCTACGCAGTTGACAATGCGTTAATGTGGAGATGTTTAAATATCCAAAAAATATATATATATATTAAAAAATCAAAAAATTACAAAATTAGAATTTCATACGTTTCGACTGAATTCCAGTTTTAAATTCCAACGTTTTAACTTTTTAAACACTTTAGTAATCAATTTGAGCGTCATACGTAATTATTTTGATAGTCCAAGTAAAATTATTTTTATAAAAAAAAAAGGTTTACATCTAGCTAGATTTTTAGATATTTCAACAAGATCATTTCCGCTTCATATCAAGATAAGTATCAACTAATGTATCAAGATAGATAAAACTAAAGCATTGAGAATCATATCGGTCATAGAATAAGTTAATAAATTATTTCGATTGTGGAATAATTCGAATTCTTTTGTTCCAATGATGCAAGTAGCTAATTAACAAAGATAGGAAGAATAAGTCGACAGAATGTATTGAGTATTAAAGTAGAAGCAAGCGTTAAAAATGTTTAAAGAGAAATTATAATATATATATATATATATATAAAAGATAAATTATAATATATACATATATATAAAATATAAATTATAATATATATAGTGACCAAAGTGCCTACGATTAAATATAATATTATAAAATGTGAAACCAAGGCGAGAGAGAGAGAGAGAGAGAGAGAGAGAGAGAGAGAGAG